GTGAGATAAGAATGAAAAGAAATAGATAATATAAGAAAAAATAATTTATAAAATAATTTCTTCTTATATCTCTTACATTCGCAATATATTTATTATTCATTGCAAGTCTTAAAATAAAGTCGCATGATTAAGAAAATAAAAAAGTGAATAAAAAAGTATAAAAATATACGATATTGCAATTAAAAAATTGTTCACATAAAAACTAAAGTCGCAAAATAAAAAAAGATACGTAGAAATGCAAAATTTGGACTTATTCATTATATTATGGCCTGATTGTTTCCATAAGTTTCTGCAGATTTCCTCCAAATTCATCAGTCGTATTTATCAAGCATTGTTTCGTTGTATGTTGTTTCGAGCCCAAATGTGCACGAAGATTGAAGATACCATTTATCTCCGTTAGACACAATTTGCAGTAAACTGGTGCAATGGTCGTCTCAAACGGGTTTCTGTGCACGCAGAGAATACAAAATATTAACATTATATTTATATCAATATAAAGGATATTATTTTCTTTATATATTTAGAATGATCCAAATTCTATGGAATATATTTAAATTGATTATCAAACATTTTAAAGTTTGTGCGAAAGAATTTTTAAATAAATTGTTAGTAACGAGACATTGTATTTGATTCTAGGGCTGCATTTCGATATTCACTGCAAGTACTGAAAATTTATAGTTTACACGTTACGCACACTATAGATTTTTAGTACTCGCAGTGAATATCGGAATGCAGCCTAAAGCGTTTTCCACCAAATACACAATATAAGGAAAACGTTTTATTTTTAAAAATATTATTTTATAATTTTACTGATTTACTAGATAATTAAAATAAAGACGCAATAATGTACTTACTGATGAGCTAAAGCCTCCAATTTCAACAAATTACTGATTATTTCTTCCAGTCTGTTGAACTTATCGCTTTTTTCATTCAATTCCAACGCTTTGTGTAAACGGTATACATTATTTGTATTCCGCGTTTCCCGAGCAGGCACGAGAAATAGAGTCTCGTCGTATCGATTCCACTTGTTAAAATTACTGACTGGAACTGGTTCTATTTTCTTACGAGTCTTGTATATCACATCTTTGAACGCATTTTTAATTTAATTCTGACAATTTATAATCATATCACGATGAGCCTTGTCGTCTACAATTTCATATCTATTAAAGTCCATTGCAACATTCATCCAATGGCGAAGCTTGTTAATCTGCCAACAGAAGGTTTACAATTCATGTATATCACAAACAAAAGAAACGTTTCAGATAAAATATATCTGAGTGTACCATAAATGTGAAAATTTTGAATATTAGACGTACCATTCGCAAATCGTTCATCGTGATCTCGACGTCAAATATAATTTCCAGATCGTGGTCCGGAAACAAGCTCTGTTCCGTAATGCGATTGTATCCCAATCCACACAGAGCGCCTGTGTAATAAGTGCCCATCGGACTGCGTCGTAGTTCCGTGCGCGGTGTAAAAATTAAATTGACGAGCGACGTGAGACCATCAGGCGTAGTGGAGAAGAGAGTTGTATTTTGTAAAGTCAGGTGCGACATGTTCATGGAATTTCGTAAGATATTTTGCGCCACCAGGAAAAATTCTTTCAAACTCGCTGGGCAGGAATCGAGTAGAACGGAATTTACCGATGTGAATTTCACTGATATTACTTTTTCCTTTTCTTTTGTCACCATATGGGTCATGGGACCATCATGGTTCTATGGGACCTTGCAATTTTATTTCTGATCGATATTTAGATTCTTCTGGTAAATCTGAATACGGTTTTTCATCATACATATTGCGTCTACACGACGACGGTTTCTCCGGATTGAAAGATTCAGACATAAATTTTGTATATGCCTTCGTAAGCCAAAGGTCCTCATCGTCCTTGTCGTCGTCGTCGTCGTCGTCGTTGTCGTCTTGGTGATGACGAGCCGTCGTCTCGTTTAACAATTCAACTTCGATATGATCGCGAAAATGCCTCATTCTGATGCAATCTCGAACAAAAGTGTCATCGTTTGGTTGGCGATTCTTCGGCTCATGTTGAATATAAACGCGGTTCGACTCGTCAAAGGACACAGTTATGTTTTCCGAATTTTTGAGCCCCATACGCTGTCCAAAAATCTCCTGAATTTTCTTAGAGTACAGTGATCCGGGGTGTTTCGACGGCCAGCCGTCAAAGACAACCGTCGTCGTCGGATCGCGGCCACCCAATGTCTTCTCTATATCCCGCTTGCCATCATTTATATTATGTGGGAATTTGATAAAATAATTAGAATAAAATGCACCAGCGATTATAAATTCGAGTACAAAAGTACGATCAATACAGAGGCTTAGCCAGATATCTTTTTCGGAACTCATTATTTTTATTATTCCAAATTTGCGCAGATTTTCTGTTATTTCGCGTATAAAGACGTCCATCTCGCGTAGCGATCTCACGCAAAGACCATATCTTCGCGCCCAATCTCTTTCCTCGTTAGGACTGTTTTTATAGCGGCTTGTTTTGTTATCTTGCCACACGTTATAAGCATTTAAACACGCTATCAAGTCGCTTTGAGAATTGGCGACCCAACGCAACCTCTCGCGATAAATTGACTCCGCGTCGAAGTATTCGAAATTTTCAAATATATTCTCAACGGTCATGGAAGCCGCGAGAATAATTGCGTCTGACAAAACCTCGAAAATATGGCCCAGGACAATCAATTTGGTCACGTGTACGTCTAATGGGAGACTGGCCATTACACGACCCAAGGGCGTCAAGTCCCCATCAAATTCTTGCGTGCCCCTATTAAGTAATGCGCCAACTTCTTTCAATAGTAATATAGTCTCCTGTATATTGCTGAGATTAGGTGGATCCAAAGAAAGAGCAAGGAAAGCTTTCGGCTCGCCCATTTCCAGCACTTTCGCCTTAAGAATTACATGTGCGAGCGGAGCCCTGAGCATCTCCGGAATAGATTCTTCCGATAGCACATTCTGCAATTTTCAAGATAATGTGATTTACAGGTTCTGCGGAAAATCAAGATCAATTGATTTCAATGTAAAGTCTATATTTACCTCGTAAAATGCTCTTGGCACCATTCTGTATACCTTACCGTTCATCACGCGGCCTGTACGACCGGCACGTTGTTCACAATTGGATTTGCTTGCCCAACAAAGTTGCAAGCATTGATAATTAGTTCCAGAGCCGGTGACGAGCTGTTTTGTCATGCAAAAATCAATCACTGAAAACAAAAATGAGAATTATATACCTATAGGTGAGTAGAATGAATTTATAGATATAATTAGTCTGACGAAAAAATATTATTTACAATCTCAACGATTGACCGACAATATACATACCGTATTTAACATCGGGTACGGTAATGCTGCTTTCAGCAATGTTTGTCGATAATATGATACGTCGATAATTTTTTGGTGGCTTTTTAAATATATTTTGCTGCTCTTCGATCGAGATGAAAGAATGTAAAATAATTATATCCCATTTTGCATTTTTATGTTTTGATGACAGAAATACAGTACGTAATTGTTCAATTTCGCCAAATCCCGGTAAAAAGACTAGCACAGTGGCCCTTTCATCGTTGTCGCCATCATATTTCTTATCGTCCATACTATCGAAAACGTGTATGGTATGCGCGGCAAACTCTGCCATCTTTGTCGTGAATTTTGGTTCCTCGTCTACTTTAGGGATCTGTTGGAAAAAACATAATATATTTTCCACACGATTGTTTCTCTATTAATCGCAAAAATGAAAAAAAAATATATATATATATTTATTAACCATATTCTTTATCGCGTGTTACGCAAAAAGAGATTTTTGGCTCCATTTTTAAAATTTCAATAAAAAATTTATTTTTACGTTAATGTGTTAACATTTGGAAATGTTTTCAATTGTGCACCCTCTAATTTAGAAATAAATATTTCTGTTGACATTTGTTTTATCGACATTAGAAACTTTGCAAATTTTCCTTTTCCTCCATCTCTGAAGCAATTAACGATAGCACGCGTCTGGTTTTTTTAAAAATCATCATTCTTCAATTGTGTTTTAATCGTGTAAGAAAATGTATACTCACGCTACCACCAAAATTTTTCATCTCGTTTATGTACGATATAGAAATATCGTAAGGGCTGCTCTTGGGTATATCGATGATTGGCGTGGGTGCAAGTAGATTTTCTACAGGCGTTGAGAAATACTTGGAAAATTTGTCCACGTCGATCGTCGCGGACATCAGTATTATTTTAACTGTCGTAGAATTTGTACGTAATAATTTTCTCACTACGAGCAGAAGAAAATCCATGTCTTCGTCGCGTTCGTGCACCTCGTCCAATATGACATGAGTGTAGTCCGTCATGTGCTTCTTATTCGTGAGCCTATTTAAGAGCACACCAGTCGTGCAATATGTTATGCGAGTATCGTGGCTTACGTTCTTGATCAAACCCATTTCATATTCCACAAGTGTACCAACGAGCCATTTTCTTTCTGCGCTGACTCGTTTCGCGATGCTTAGAGCGGCGATGCCGCTCGGCTGTGTCACTGCAAAATACACACATATTCCATGTATTATATACACACGCGCATACATAAAATAAAACGATTATTTTGCCGAATGTTTCGCAGAGCATAAGGTGCTTGAAAAATTGCAATGACATACCTATGATGTTACAGTGTTGTTTCTTTTCAAATTCAGCATCAAGAATAAATTGTGGTACATGTGTCGTTTTCCCACAGCCTGTAGAACCGCAAATGATAACGACAGAATTGCTGGCAATCATGGATACAATCTTGTGTCTCATAGAGAGAATAGGTAAATTACTGTTGGGCTGATGGGCAAAGTTGTACGATTGATAAAGCTGAACAGTATTTCGCTTGAGAATTGTTGTGTCTCCAGACACCTACGAAACATTGTCCATATGATTATTATTTTTAAGAAACATACTACTTTTCAACTACAAGAAACGGTAGGAAAAATATAAATAAAACAAATAAAATACAGACTACAATATCATATCACATATCTTAATGCTAATCACGTGCGTGTAATCGTCCTCATCTTTTTCTACATATTCCCTGACGTTGTCGTCAGCATGACGATCTAATTCTTCATCAATCATTATATCTTTTTCAACCTTCCGAATAGCAGAAGCTGACATTTTTGTGCTGAAGAATTCGAGTGATTTGTATTTTTTCATAGTACGGTGCATCCAACTGCTGTTATCCGTTGTTGCAATCTATCAGACCTGTAATTAATATTATATACCATTGAAAACATGCTAAATTATATAAGTCATACGCCGCGGTGTCGGAAGGTCAAAACGCACACAAAGATTGACGTTAGTGCGTATCGTATCGCATCGTCGACGCGATGGATACGACATACGCACTACAGTTAATCCTTGTATGCGTCTTGACTTTTCGACACCGCGGCGTATGACTTAATTACGATAGAATATTGTAATTGTTACGACAATCTTCAATCTTATCTTTTATACGTTAATAAGATTACAGTAATACGAAGCACATATCGAAATTAACACAGAATACGGGGAAGGAGGGATCACAGCAGGCAAATCACAATCACATAAAACTTGTAAATTGCAGATAAATTACAGTTAATGGTAGTCGAATGTATTTTCTCCTCGCTCTTCTTCACTACGATGTCGTCCTTCCTTCTTCTCGTCCTTCCTTCTCGTCTTTTCTTTTCAGTAGGCTTCGATATCAAATTGATTGATATCAACGAACACATCTCTATCTAAATGTCTCATCAGTCACAGAATTCAACTGTAACACGACAGTCACACAAGCCCCGCCCCGGACAATCACGTGGTCTGTTAGGTCTGTTCGCATTGCTTGCACTTTTTGCACTCGGTATCTACGCTTTCTTTCTCTCTGTCTCCAACGGCCAAATTTATATTTATCTCAATTCAAATGCACCTACAGCAAATGCCAAATACCAGCAGATCACAGCAGATACGTGCGGAATGTAAAATATGTACTACATATGTACAATGTCCAGTGTTCGATTATCCGCGATTTTATTCAAGTGAAATCTAAAGTCACTATAGATAGATATCTAGTGATTTTAATCGAACTCGTCTACTTGCGCACGTTTGTATGTATACTATTTCGTATATTCAACAGACACGCAAATTAAATATTTTATATATTTTTTTTTATTTAGGAATTGTTTGGATAAATTTAGAGCCAAAACACATATAAACACATGGCGTAGCGATATACGACAGTCGTAATCCTTAACTTGAGAAATCGTTAGGGTCAAAGCACATAACATGGTGTAGCGATATACGACGGTCGTAGTCCTCGACTTGACAGATCAGGATATGAAAAAAACTTGTGCGTTAAGGCTATTCTACAATTGCGTAAACGTAGGGTTGTAGGAGTAGGAGTAAGAAATTGACCAATCACAGTCGAATTT